ATATATATTTATTTATTTATTATATTTATATATCCCAAAAATGCCTACCCAGCCACTGGTAGAGCCGGTGACGATGGCCGAGAGACCGGCCAGAGGTTTTCTGGCGACTTGCCGGTGGAGAAGACGAGACGCCATGATAGGTTTAGGGTTTAGGGTTTAGGGTATTCTAGGATGGCCCCTGAAAGCCTTTGAAAAACATTCGTTAACAAAATCCTCTTAGGCCCAATAAGGGAAGCTATAAATTATTGGGTTAGGGGTTTAGGCTTTTAGGGTTTAGGGTTGTTGCGTTTGGTGCTTAGGATTTCGGCTTTGGGGTTTTGGATTTAGGTTTTTGGGTTTGGGTGTTAGGATCTAGGGTCTAGTCTGGGTGTACACCATTGAACACCTGGAATAGAGGTCTGCCGGAGGGAAAGGGTGCTGGCTGTGTCAGAGAGCTCTGGAACAAGCTCTGCACGCGAAGCTGATGCATGCTGCAGTCTTTGACTTCTAACAAGGCCACCCGGTCTCTGGGTGAGACCATCCAGACCCTGAGCCCTAGAGCCAAGGTCCTCAACCGGAATTGATACCCATAATGTAGAAGCCTAAATAATTACCTCTACTATTTCGGGGGGTTCCTTATTATAGATATAGTATAAAGGGCCCCAACACCCTATTATTTATTCTAATTATTAAGGCCCCTACATGATGGAAGCCTTGACCATGGAGTCTACCCTGAACCACTCAGCTCCTAAACCCCAAAGCCCGACAGTTCTCCAGAAAGCTGAAACCACCGCAAGGCCAAGTTTTGGGGTTTTGGGGCTTCAGGGTTTAGGGGTGTAGGTTTTAGGGTTTAAATGAGGGTTCAATTAGGGTTAAAATAGGATTAAATTAGGGCTAAATTAGGGTTAAACTAGGGTTTAGACGGTTTAGACTTCGGGCTTCAGGACCCCCGTTGCACAAGAAGGTTGGCTGCTCTCCTCTTCGTCCTTATGTTGGAGCCTACTGCAGCAGCTCAATGCTGTCAGGTAGGAACCCTAAGGGGAGGGGAGGGGAGTCCCAAAATTGGAGTTCAGGGCTTCGGGTTTACGGTAAGCCCCGGCGTACTCAAAACAGGGACACAGGTGCCCTAAACCCTAAACCCTAAGCCCTAAGCTCGAAACCCTAAGCCCTAAGCCCGAAACCCTAGACCCTAAACCCTAAGCCCTAAATCCTAAGCCCGAAACCTTAAACACTAGACCCTACGCCCCAAAAATTTTCTCGAGCTGCTCACAATCCCAACAGAGCCCGGCAAAACTCCCCAAGCCCCAAGACTCCTCTGACCTCAGAGGCCCAAAAGGCACAGCAGAACAAAGCAAAGCAAAATAAGATAGGGGCCTTAATTAGAATGGTGTTTTGGGGCCCAATATACAATAACAATAATGATAATAAGAAGAAGTCAATCCTGAACCCTAAGGTTCTGGGATTGTGGCGCAGGAGGGCCAACAGAGAAAAGTGGTGTAGATGGCGCCGGCATGCTCCTCTTTCGGAGGGCTTGGGTTCAGGTTTAGGGCTTAGGGCTTAGGGCTTAGGGTTTAGGGTTTAGGGTTTAAGGTTTAGGGCTTAGGGGATTTAGGGCCCTTTGCCACGAGCCACGAACCCCACGCTCAAGCAGCCATACCTGGTAGAACCCTTATGGAACCCCTCAACGAACACTTGTATATAGAATCCTGATAGAACCTCTCTATGGACAAACTGCTGAACCCTTCTCATAGCCTCACATGAAGCCCTGGACAAGCTACTGTAGGGGCCTTCAATAATTAGAAGAGGGTTTCGGTGACTCCTTTCTATAATTACCAGTGACTGTGTCCGTGTACTTTTTTCCGTCTTGCGCCAAACGTGTACTTTTTCTCTTGCGCGTGTACTTTTTGTTTCGGATGGTTTTTTGGTGTGTGTGTTTTCTTGGTGTTCTATAGGTGTTGTAGCACTCTATGTATGGCCCTTATAATTGGTATATATTCCTTGATTCTTGTTACTGAGTCCTGTAGGGGATTACTCGGGTGTAGAGGGTATTTGTGTTTCGGGGGTTGAAACATTCAGGGGATTCAGGGACTGGAGAGTTGAACCATTTCAGCCTCCGAACCCCGACCGCCCCAGCAATCCCGGCCAAATGCTGCAGGCAGAAGATCGAGGCCACAGTGAACCTTTTAACTCATCCCACCACGAAGCCGAAAGCCAGGCCAGGGCTAGGTTGATTGAACTTTACTTGGTCCGGGGCCTTATGGTGCTTAAAAATAGTGTATATATATATAGTGTTATAATTCGATCGATCTGTATAATCCTAGCTGAACTAACACATGTAGGTCGCACTTTATCTGTGCAGGCATACAGAGTGTGTCGACTTGGAAAGTATCGTGTTCCTTTATAATTGTAATCATCGTGAGATGGTGAAAGTAGATAAGTGAAACAACTGCATGCATAAGAAGCCTCGCCTCGCCTCCTTCGTCAATGGTTTCGCTTTTGGTGCTGCGAAGAGCGCTGCACGCGGTCCGCCCCCCCTCATTGCACATGCTGTGCATGATCATGCTCGAAGGATGCCTGTGATTGAGTTGAGCTTGTGTCTTGTACACGTTGCATTGAGCGTGCATTGCTGCAAACCTCTGCTAACCAGCAGCTGCTAGTGCTTTTCGGTGTGCATGTGCTACATGTGCATGCAGCTTGGCAGTGCATCCAGCAGGTGCTTAGAACGTAGGCGCATGAGGCCAGGGGCCCAGCACTGCATGTTTCAAAGTCGTGGTGTCTAGAGGATTCTTTTGCATCCCACCATGGCAAAGTTTGCTCCCGTCGACTGCCTGCACATGGTGTGGTCGAAGGAGAGGGTTCTTCAGGAACGCCTCGAAGAGGGAGGACGTGCTGTCAGGACAGTTGATGGCTCCTCGTTTGTTAGAGCGAGTGAGGATAACTGTATCGAGAACCGTGCATTTTTGGCAGCTTATATGGTGCGTCAAAGGGGTGCCCGTTCTTTGGATATTCCAGACGTGGAGTCTTTAAAGGCGCAATTGCTGTCGATGCACACGACTTTTGTCATGAACTGCAAAGCTAAAGCATCCAAAAGGCCCAAGGCTTTGCTGGAGGCTACGATGGAGCTCGTGCAGGCGAATGCACATTTGGATGCAAAGGCTTTGAAACGGCTTTTTTCCTATGCCCGCAGACGATTCCTGGCGCCCCATGCGCCCAAAGATGCTTGGATGCACGGTCCAGTTTATGCGGGCCCGATGATCGAGTGAATGAGCGATTGCATGTGTTGGCATGAGTTGACTGGTTTGAGGGAATGAGCGAGTGAGTTTATGCGTGCACGACATAAGTCTGCCTGTGGCCAAGAACCCGGAGTTTGCGGACTTGCTAGAGCTTTGGGGCGACAAGGAGCCTTTCCAGCACATATCGTTGTATCTCTGCATGTGTTTGCATCCCATGCCATGGAGTATAATTGTCGGTCTAGTTTGTGACCATTCACGATCGATAAGAAGCTTGGGATTTCGAGGAGCTTTATGGCAAGAGCGGCAAAAAGACCCGATGGGATACAAAGGATGTGGATGAGCAGGCTGGGGAGGAGGATGCATTCCATGAGTATGCAGAGGACTTTGGTGAGGATGCGGAAGAGGAGGACCCAGAGGATGATCCCCCTCTGGACGTGGCTACGTTCCCCCCGCCCCCTGGTGGATCCGTGCTGGACATGCCACTCTTGAACTCCGAACCCGCCCCGGCTTTGCACAGGAGTGTGGTGCACATGAACAGCTCGACCTCGATTGCTTCAGATGCCACCACCCTAGTTTTGGGTGAGACGCCCAAGACTCCTCAGCCAAAGACGCTTGTGCCCGCACAGGCGGTGCAGATGACACCGTCCCCCCCGAGTTTGCCTGCAGTTGAAGTGCGCTACAGAGAGGTGCTTTATGTGGCAGAGTCCCCCCGCAAAATGGTTAAGGCCGAGCCTCGAGATTTCGAGGCTGGGTGTCCTTCTGGAGTGGCAAAGCCCAGCTTGGACAAGGAAGCCCTTATGTCTGAGTTGGCTTCTCTTGAAGCCGCACACCAAGCGCTGCTGGATGCAGAAGCAAAGCTGCAAGCCGAAGCAACGGCAACAAAGCCAAGCACAACAGAGCCGAACGCAACAGAGCAAAACACAACAAAGCCGAACGCGACAGAGCAAAGCACAACAGAGCCGGAACCAACAGAGCCAGACACAGAAGAGCCGGAACCAACAGAGCCAGAGACAACAGAGCCGGAGCCAACAGAGCCAGACGTACCAGCGACTTTGTCCAAAGAGTCCGCTTTGCAAGAGCTGGCTGTGCTGCAAGCAGAGCTGCCATGGTCTCGGTCGTATCATGTCGTATCGGCTACACTCGTGCTGTGGTGCATGCATGTTAACTAGGTTTCGATTGCATATGTCGTGCTGAGTTCCAAGCAAGGTTGCGCCTGACATCCTCTGGTGCTGTTGAGGGCAGCTTGTCCACACGAGTGTGTGTCTGTATATGCAATGCATGTGAATTCGGACATGAGCATGGATTTAAACTTGTTCGATTTTTGCATCTCTCCTAGGACCAGCTGCTGTCTTCGACACGGATGATACACAAGTTGCCCCGCCGAGTGTTCTGGATTTGGAAGCCAACAGGTTGGCACGACTGAACTCCACATGCACCATGGTTGACAGTGTGCCCGATCCTCCTGCTACTAGGCCTCGACATGTGACCATGATAAACACTTATTTTCTGTGCTGCGATACAAATCCGAGTGCATGAAATATGTTTTCGACTCCTGTGATATCTCAGGCTGTGAGCCGTGAAGCTCAATTGGGTGCTCGCAAAAAGCGCAAGAACGACCTGGATGCAAAAAAGACTGCTAGGGAGGCCCAGAAGGCAAGTCTCGATCTAGATTGCATGTACATTTTTGATCACCATTCGTGGAAAGTTAGCTTTTGCATGCACGGTGATGAAATCGATCGGCCAGGCTGCTGTTCCGGACAACGCCAAGGAAGGCACAGGGACGAAATCGATCGGCCAGGCTACCGTTCCGGAGAAGGCCAAGGAAGGCATGGGAAAGAAATCGGTCGGCCAGGCTACCGTTCCGGAGAAGGCCAGGGCTGATGGGAAGACCCCCGGTGATGTTGTTGGTGATGGGGCTCTGTGTGCTGAGGCTGGTGGGGAGAATCATGAAGATGAGAATGGAGCTACGGATCCGCCGGCAAAGAAGCGAAGAACAGCTGCAAAGAGCAAGGCGAAGGCTAAGGCTAAACGTGCAGAGCAGCAGCAGCAGCAGCCCGAAGCGGTGGTTCAAGAACCAGCTCAGGAGCCTCCTGAGGCCCCTGAACCTGCCTCCTCCGAGGATCCTGTTGCAGCTCCGGAACCTGGGGATGCTGGTCAGGTTAGCAAGAAGGGCAGGGGTAAGGGTGGCAGGGGCAGGGGTCGTGGGACAAAGGCGGGCGACAAGAAGAAGCAGGGCAAAGGCAAGGGGAAGGGAAAGACGAGCAAGTCCAAGGGCAAGGGGGCAGGCAAGGCTAAGAAACCGAAAGCAGAGTGCGCCGTGGAACCGGCAAAGGTGCCAGGAAGGAGGGTGTCGGCGAAGAGACCCCAGGATGGACACGTGGCAGTTCCTGACAAAAGGGCCCCCAAGCCGAAGGGAGCTCTTGACTGTGAGGAGGCCTAGACCATGTACACATATACCATGTTGCAACATTTCAAGACAGTGTTTGCTGTTGCTATACATACTCTACCATGGCATCCTGAGTTTGTTCGCAGGAGAAGATCGGACTGAGGAAGGATTTGCTTTCCACGAATGGGACGCTGAAGCACTACGTTCTCATGGCCTACTGGAGTCGTCCTGGTGTGGGCATCAAGCAGCTGAGTGATGGGAGACAGGCTTTCAGCTGTGCATACTTGTTCTTCATTCTCTCTAACATACCGGTCCATCCCCTATTAATTGTTCTTTATTATTCTATGCCATTCTATGGTGCAGGTTCAGTACTTGGGCGGCAAAGGCGTGCCCATGTCAAAGATTATGAAAGCCGGCATCGACTGTGTGTCTTGGTTGAGATTAACTGGACTGCTGTTCGAGCAGGGCTCATGCAAGAGTTGGTGCTCCTACCCTGGTTCGTGTGACTGTAGGTGAAGTACATGGACGAGAACCACACGGACATCAAGGGAATAGCACAATACGTGCATCGCACAAAGCAGCTTCTGAAAAACTAGGAAGGGGCCGTATAGCGATCGATGCAAGCCTTCCAGGCAGGAATTCTGCAGGACGTGCTAGGCCGCTGTCGGGTTGCATGCGCCTAGCCTGTGAGGCCCGATCTAGCAGTTTTATGCAAAACAGTCCCAATAAAGTGTGTGGTTCTCCAAAACATACATAGACACATATGTTCATATATTTTTATTCCCATGTATATCTTCGTTCGGATCCATGATCGGACCTTTGCAGTGCGCATGGTATGGGAAACAGATGTGCACCACGTCTCAAGATTCAATGCCAGCGCAGGCTTAAAGCACAGCTGGGGGTTTACGAAGATGGCCCGGTGCAAAAAAAAGATGTCTTTGCCTGCTGGACATGGAACCGATTTCGAGAGAGAAGTTCTTCAGTGCTATTTGCATGTGTCTCTGTCTGCACGATCACTAGTCAACACTTCCTTCGACGCAGGTTCTGGGGTGATTCATGCCGGTGCCGAAGTCGCTCCGGGGGCGAGTTTCCGAGGCTGCTGCTGGCAGGGCTCAGGTCGATGTTCGTGGGGCCCGCTTGTCTTAACGGCATGTATTGCAATCGGTTCGGTCTCGTGTAGTTTAGATCGATATATATATATATAGTATATATCCCTCGAAGCACAATCCTTTATTGGACATATTTATATAGGTTTTCTAGGTGTTATATATATATATGTAAGCTAGGGGTTTAGGGTTTGGTGGGTTACGGATCGATCTAGATATAAAGTGAATTCGGGGGTCTGGGGTTCAGGGTCACTGTGCCAATGTAGACTGACCCATTGCCTGGATTCCAAGCTCTCTCTTTCTGAAAAGGTATGCATGTATGTACACATACATACGTACATATGTACATACATACATACATATACATATATTTACATATACATATATACATATATATCTATATATATATATACATGTACATATTATAAATATATTGGTGTCGTATATGGGTGTATATATACAGATATATATATATACAGATATATATATATATAGGTAGTTATAGTGTGTCCATGTATATGAACATCTGCATTTATGTATGTATGTATGTATGTATGTATGTATGTGTGGATATTCTAGATGATAATGTAACCATGACTCTAGAAAACCCTGTGCACCCGACGCCACACAGTTTGAAGCCAAGCCTCGACCGATGTTTGCCACAACTGCTCTCCCAAACAGGAGTAGCATAAGACCCTTAACGGAGAAGTGTGTCATCCCAAACCTACATTGATAAAGTAGGTATCGTCAGACTGCTGGGTCATGATGCGCCCACAGGAATCCTCGAAGCCAAATAGCCCACTTTTATAGATCGAATTATAAGGGTTTGTAATCTATATAGAAATTCAAAGCTACACAGATCGACTTTATGCAGATACTATCATCCTTATAAAACAACCTGAGCTTGTGTTATATAGGGTTGATAGGGTTCAGGGAGTAGGGTGGGTTAATGGTTCTTATGGACACATAAGGTTGCATTGGGGGGTCTGGGGTTCAGGATTTCTGTGGCTTTGGCACCCGCACAGCTGGGGGGGGAGGGGAAGCTTTCATGGCTTCAGGAATGCGGGTTTTTCGTGTGTTTTACGTGTCCGATCCTAAGATAACATAGGGTTTCTTTTTACGGTTTGTGAGTGGCTTCCGTTAGACACTTTAACGGTTTTTCAGATTTCAGGGATGTTGTTGTATTGATGGGTATAATGGTTCCTAGTTTGGTGGGTTTCGCTGGGATTCACAGAGGGCTCACGCCACACGCCGGGCCGGGATGCCAGGTGTCTCAGCTCTGAAGTTTTCGAGATCCAGAACGCTACACGAGTTCATATGTTGTCGTGCTGCAATTTTACGAACGATCTTATGGACGTTCACGTGTAGTCACGCGAGGACATTAGTGTGCTTCACCGGGTACTAGAAGCTAAGCCTATATAGATCGATAATTAAGACAGCCAATTAACAGTTTTGATCCCTGGCAATGTGGACCGATGCCACTCTGAGCCTTTTGCTTCATCGCCTCTGCAAGCTGCAGGCTCCCAAGGTGGGTCTGATTGTGCCCGACCGATCTATGTACCTGAGATGGTTGTGTCGCTTTCTCGCAGGTCGTAGAATAGCATTTTCCGGGGGGGGGGGGTGGTGTTCTGGCAGGTTCTGATCTTTGCGATATTGTTGCTCTTCTGGGCCGAGAATGTGACTATTCGTGCAGATGCCGCTTGGACAATCAATCAAGGGATCCGTAACATAAACTGTGTGCACAGTTTGTACTTCGCATCTACCAGACATGTCTCTAGACTGAGTCGATCGAATGGCTGGAGTTCTTCGCTGGGGATGCCCAAGCAACGCGACATGTTGCAGCGAGTGGCTACAAAGCTCGAAAATTTGATATTCGGTACCCGATACAGTACAAGCACCAGAATTACATGGACCTCCTCACACCTGCAGGCATGTCGCATCGAACTCAGCTTCGCAGCTTCGCCAGGGCAGCTTCGCAAATCCTTGAATACAGTTTCAGTATCTTGAGTCTTGAAATGGTTGTTGCTATGCTTAGGCTGGCAATAGTTGGGCTGATGTCGGCCGTGCAGGGCAAGGCTGTTATATGGTTCGGCCTGGTCTGCTCCAGCTTCACTGTTATCAACATGGGGCACAGCAAGAGAAGCTTTCTGGTTCCCATGGGAGATACTTCCAAAAGAACTGTACAAGAGGGCAATTGTTTAGCCGCCAGGACAGTCTTCAAACTACAGGTAACCCCAGCAGCTCAGTTCCCGCTCCCTGAACCCTATAAACCCTATAAACCCTATAAACCCTATATACCCTATATAAACCCTAGAGACCCTAAACCCTGTCAACCCTAAACCCCAAAACCCTGAACTGAACCGGAATCGGAAAGCCCCCTCCTCCTAATATATATATATATATATAATATAATAATAATATAATAATAATATAATAATAATAATATATATAATAATAATAATATAATTATAATATAATATAATAACATAATAATAATCCTCTACTCCGTCGAAAGACAGCCCCCTGAGGACGTGCATCCTTATTCTGCTTGTGCTTGCGATGAAAGGGGTCTTCATCCTGGAACAACCGGGAGGTAGTTTCTTCCAGCACTTCCCCAGGTTCGATCAACTTTGTCGCCTCACGAAAGTTTACAAGGTTGCATGGTACATGTTCCACTACGGAGGAAGAACGCCTAAACGGCATATAGCTTTCTCGAATTCCAAGTGTGTGCTACGCTTAAGCCGCGGCAAACTACGAGGATGGAAACGTTCAATGTCGGGCCAGACTGTCAAGCACTATGTCAAGAAAGGCAAGAAGAAATATGTTGGCACCACGCTCCTCAAGAAAACCGAGTAGGCATCTCAGACTCCTGAAGAGTATATTGGTATATGGCAACAGATATGATTCTATAGTCCAGTCCGCTGAATTCACAAGCCCGCCGAGGAACTACCCTCCCGAATTTGGAGCTCGAGTGGCTGCTCTTCTGGATGAGATCCATGCGGCGAAGGCCACGCAGTTGTTCGACGAGGCCGGTTGTGACCAGGCCACAGCCACAGCCTTTGATTGTTAGATGGGTATGTATATATTAGATGGGCATCTAAAGGTTCTGTATATCTCATATATATATATATGAACTCTAGGGTTGTTGATGCATGCACGCAACACATACATATGTAGAGTGTCTATTATATATATATACTTACGTAAGGCTACATACATCTAGCTTTATGATATACTTATATACACATACATACATACGTACATACATGCATGCCTACTTAGATACGTACATGTGTGCAGGTACAGATAGGCAAACATGTGCACACACATAGATGTATGTGTACATATATATATTTTTTTGTTTGTATATATATATATATGCATGCACACATATATGCCTGCATAGATTCATATATACTGTTGATGATATAAATCCTGCATTACCTTTAAGGGCCCGAAAACTATATTGGAATTTTAATATATATATATATTCCTTAATTATCAACGGTAATGCAGGATTTATATCATCAACCGTATGTACATGTCCATATGTAAAAGCATGCATGCATGCACAATAATATGTGCCCGTCTCTCACACACACATATATATACATACATATATACATAAATGTATATACACCGCTACTTGACATGCACTCATGTATGCATGATGTGGTACATGTCCATGCACACACACACACACACGCACATTTGTGTGTGGGTGTCTGTGTCATGTCCATGTGAACGACAAGTGGAATGATACATGCAGACATACGCACGCTTTTCGATGCATGTGCACACACACTCACATAGAGGACAGGGTGCAATCTATATGTCCACATAGAGGCCATGTCGGGTGTCGTATGCGAGGCAGATCAGGAGCTGGGGTTCTCTGGGTAGCTTTATACTAGATCGCTGGTTGCAATTATTTAGATCGAAGGATGGTCGAACTTAGTAAAGCCCTATAACCCGGCCCCTTATAAACTCTACCTGCACCCTGCAGTTCATCGACTCTGAGCTGGTCGTTTGGGTTTCGGATTGTGGGCTCTTTTGGAGCATACAAGGGTGCCAGTGTTTGCTATGCCTTGGGGTCCAGTGTTGTACGCTTCAGATGCTAAAAGCTATACGTAGTCGAACGCAGAACTGGCAACTTCTGTGTTCATGCCTCTTGAAGTATATAGTAGAAGCAGCAGCAGCAGCAGTAGTTGTACTCCATGTCGCAGGAAGCACGATACGAATTCCCCAATCCGCAAATGCACCATAGATAAAAGAACCCCAAACCCGAAACCCTAAACCCCACACCCCACACTCTAAACCCCAAACCCTAAACCCCTTGCAAGCCCCGCACCCTACACCTCAAACCCTAAACCCCAAACTCCACACCCTAAACCCCATGCAACCCTAAACCCC